TTGTCATTATACAAATTTATGTCCTCATTTGTCACAAAAACGCGCACACACACGCACACACATATATCAAGTCTCGCTTTCTCTGGGAATTTAACCCATTACGTTGGTATTGCTAGCACTAAGATTCTATACTGTTTGAGCTACAGACATAATTTTCAACTTGCTATTGCTAGCCAGAAGCACATGGTATGTTTTTTTTGTTTTTTTGGACAAAAATGTGATTGATTGATTGATTCTGTACTTAAATGGTAGTGTAAGGCAGTGCTTCTGAAACCTGTCCTGTGGACCCCCAACCACTACACATTTTGTATGTATCCCTCATGGGCCACACCCAGTTCAAGTTTTGCAGACTCTACTAATGAGCTGATGAGTTGAATCAGGTGTGTTAAATGAGGGAGACATACAAAATATGCAGTGGTTGGGGCTCCCCAGGACAGGTTTGAGAAGCACTGGTGTAAGGCACTTGATGAAGTACTGTAGCAGTATCATGGTTCAGTGATGGCATAAAATGGTAGTACTGTGGTACTTTGATATATATATACTAGGCCTACCCTGTCTTTGATTTCCTTTTGTATACCGCACCAGGGTACCATTAGTTACTTATATGGTGCTATAAGGTGAATAGAAGAACACATTATTATAGCAGTGTCCACAATGCATGATATTACTCTCATATATTTTTATGCATCCATTGTAATTTATGTGCATATGGGCACGTGAGCCAAATATAAGATTCAACAGTGATGTTTAGCGAGCTAGAGGGTCTTATGATTTAAAAAACACATGCTGCAGTGTTGTTTATTGTGTAGGTAGTTGGTTTCAGGCAGTTCAGAGATGAATGGGGTCCAGGCGTATGTTACACCCAGTGTCACCACAGCACATCTCTTTTGATTTGAACACGGGCAAGAAACAAACACTATGTATTACTGTATATGCACAAGACAAACAAGGATAGTAGCATCCGTACCCCTGTGTATCTGTCTGTCTATGTCTTTCTCCAGACAAACTGCTCTTTAGGGCAGCTAGTGACACCTTGGGGGACTGTGTAGGCCTGAAAAAAATGCTTGAAAACACCGTAGGTGTGAAAAGCAATTAGCAGTGAAGAGGCTGGAGGGGAGAGGAGACAGAATATGAGATTGGAGAGGAAGACATGTCTGAACATGAGACCAGGACATGGGGCCTTTGCCCTCCTTGTGTCAAGCCTCTCTTCCCTGCTCACATTTACAAACATACCACTGTCTGGGGAGTTTTCATCACCGCCTGCAGCACCTGAATAACCATTCAATTGTGCATAATTAGCATGCATAATCGCAGCTCTATTGCACCACAGTAAACAATTTGAGCTTTACGCCTATAAAACATTATATTGCTGTGATAATGAGAAAAAGCTTCTTGCGTTCAGTCACAAGTGCTGTGAAATTGATACAAACATTTTTTTGTGAGGTAAGTAAGTGATCCGGCTGTTGATCAATGGGCATCCTGGTTTGTTTCCACTCTCAAGAGCATCTTGAAATGCACCGGAGCTAAGTGGAGGCGTCTAGAGACGGTCAATATCCATATTTGACACACTCACTTGTCACTGCTAATCCAGGAACCAAGAGCCCCTACAAAATCAATCACAACCTAATTACACTTGCACACAGTTTACAAGCCTTCATCCCAGCTTTTCTAGTGTTTGAGGTAAGATGGACACAAAAAGAAAATGAGTGAGAGTTTGTGTGTGGGTGTGGTTTTACCTACAGTACAGTTCATATAGTAGCTATACTTTGGGAATAAAATTGTCCTTAAAAGTATATTGAATATTTACAATATATTTAAAACATTGTAAATACAGTGATGATTTTGATGAAGTTGTTGTCATTAATTGGTGTCTAATTTAATGTTTTTTCCCCCTTTGTCCCGTAACTAATGTCTGTGATTGAAACTTTAGTGGCAAATGTTCAATTATCAGTTCAGTTCAGTTTCAATTAATTAATGATTGATTGAAATAATTTAGTAAAAATACAGTATATGTTGATTTTATTGCTGTATATATTTTACCATATATTGTTGCATATAAATGGAAATAGTAAAATAATCTTGTTTGTGTTAATTTAGTGAAAAACAATGTGTAAAACATATATCATCAAAATATCATCAAAAGGCTAAAAAGTATCTTTTTTAACCTATTTCTCCTAGTCTAGGAGTGTTCTCTAAATTAAAGTAAATAATGTTTTTCTTAAAACATAAAAAAACAATAAAATAAAAAAATTGTAATAATATTTTTTATTAATAATAGTATCAAAAGCCTGAAAATTATTGAGATGATATGTTTTTACTTATTCTAATTCTATGTTCTCAAAGTTAAAATGATTCATAAATGAGGAAAATAATATTTTTTCCACCTAATAATTCCAAGCTTTTGTTTGAGGTGTAGGGGTAAGATTAGAGTTAGTTGTTAGTAGTTGTAATTAGATTTATATATTAAAAAAATAGTAATATGTCCTCATGTATGTGTGTGGCGCTGAATAAAAGTTTTTGATACAGTTAAGTTTCATTTTTATTTTGATGTATTGTTCAGCCCATTGTCTCTGACATGTATAGATTATAAAACTATTGTACATTTCTTATGCATTAGAAGGATTTCAGATGCTGTACATGGATTTGCACGTATGTTTGTGAATGTGTATGTAGCTGAGATGTCTCTGGTCTAAATATACACTGCTGTACCTGAAGTCTCCAAGTGTGCGGTCGGCCAGGGGGGTCCAGAGCAATGAAGAGTCAGAGACACCTGCCTCTTTATGTCATTCTGAGGGGCCCGGGGCCGTGTCAGGTTTTCACACACACACACACACACACACACACGTGCGCACGCACACACAATCATGTCTGGTTCACTATCCTTGTGGGGACATTCCATAGGGGTAATGGTTTTTATACTGTACAAACCGTATTTTCTATTATAAATCACAAAAACGCGCGCACACACACACACACACACACACACACACACAAGTCTGGTTCACTATCCTTGTGGGGAATCTCCATAGGCATAATGGTATTTATACTGTACAACTTGTATATTCTATCACCCTACACCAACCCTACACCTAAACCTACCCCTCACAGAAAACTTTCTGCATTTTTACATTACCTCAATTTAGGTCCCCACGGTGACACGAGTCCCCATGAGTCGGTGTGCATTCATGTTTAAGTCCCCATCGGGATAGAAAAACATGTACACACTCCCTGAGTGACGTGGAGCCAGCAGTTATGCGGCTCAACCAGGGATGCTTCAGTGCCAGCCGGGAAGGAAAAGTAAAACAAAACGAGTCAAGAAACGTAAAAAAACATCATGTCTTCATTCTATTCTGGCTTTGTAGGGAAAGCTCAGACACATTCATTGACATCAATATGTTTTTGAGTTTCTGCGCAATTCTTTGGAGACTCCAAAAGTTCTTGGTGTTCCACTGGTCAAGTTCTTGGTGTTCCAGGTTTTTCATATCAATGTTTTAGTTTTTGACTACTTTAAAGCACTATTGCAATGGTGGATTTCTAAAGAACTAAAGAATTACAAGTAACATTTTGAAGTCTATTCATTTACTTACTCAGTTCATTCACACAGTTCGGTTCTGTGAATCTGATTCACTGACTCTTTTCTTGAAGTTAAGTCCTCAACTGACAGAAACGCAGATTTTTTTTATCTTTGACGCACTGCTGGGCAACTTCAGCCACTTTTCCCGTCCATCTTTGCACAGATTATACACTTTACAAAACAAAATAAAAAATATATCATATATCATATCATATCGTTTATGTCCTATATATAAGTCCCAGTGCAGCTTTGTTTAAAGTCATTGCTTACAGTCCAGTTCTACAAATTCTTTGTGAATCGGTTAAACTGAATCATTTTATAGAATTGCTACAAACGAATCATTTAATGGATTCCCCTGGCATCAGGCTATACAATATCATCGTAAATTACATTAATGTTTATTTTCAATAATGCAACACTAAGCTAAAACTAAACTTGCAGCATTTTGAAGCAGCTCATTTGCCTCATACAAAGACTAAGTTGGTTTTAAACTGCGTAGATTCATTTTCATAGTACGGAGGAAGTCTGGTCACCATGTTGTGCTCTGGAATAGTTAGGTTGGGAATGATGGCGTGTGTTTACAGGAATCTTGTTCTTGTTTAGAGGTTAAATGGGGCAAGCATTCCTGAGGTGTGAGAAGAAGTCTGACTCATGCGTCTCTATGGACAGATTTATTATAAGGAAGCACTCATGCAGACAGTCGGCTAGATTTTTGGGAGTCTTTTGCCTCATTTAGACATCGTGTGTGAAGTGTTTTGGCAAAAGAGGGCAACACACATTAAGGGATTATTTTGGCCGGACAGGTGGTCATTGTCTCAGCTCCTTGTGACATGAAAAAAATTGTGTTTGTTGTGATAAGGCAGCAGTCAACGCAGGGTCAAAGGTCACCCCAGCTCAAATTAAAATGACTCCTTGCAGTTCCTTCACAGTTACTCATTGCTGCAGAAGATATTGCATTGCACTTCCTTGTGTTCTTAATGTTTGTCCTTCCCAGAGGAACATTTTTAGTGCTCATATGTTTTGTTTAAATATCAACTTTATCTGATGTCAATAATTCAAGAGAAATATTTCACATTAGGAGAAATAAAAATAGACTCTATATATACAGTGTACATATAGTATATATTATACAGTGTGTATATATATATATATATATATACAGTTTTAGTTTGTGTTATTTTAGTACATCAACTAAATTAAAATGAGAAATATTACCTTGGCAACTATCTGAAATGAAAAGTTTTCTATATTTTATTTTATTTCAATTAATGCTTATTTTATTTCAAGTAAAGAAAATGTTTTTTTATGTTTTTAATTTTAGTGTTAGTGAACTATAACCCTTTTGCAGACTTTGGCATTTTGCATGTATACCAGACAAACAAATCCAAAAATAGCATTTAAGCATGTACTGTTTTTTTTCTTTTAGGTATGACTTCATAGAGATTCGAGATGGGAATTCTGAGTCCGCAGATCTGCTGGGAAGGCACTGCAGTAACATCGCTCCTCCTGCCATAATTTCCTCAGGTCCTGTCATCCACATCAAGTTTGTGTCTGATTACGCGCACCAGGGTGCCGGTTTCTCCTTGCGCTACGAGATCTACAAGACTGGTGAGTGAGCTCAATCCCACTGCTTCCATGTGGTTAAGGAAACAGACATTTTGAAGAACAGTTTTTTCCAAGGGAAATTTCTATACCTGACAATGAACAGCTAAAGCAGCATTCTCATCCTATAAGTCCTTTCACACGATTGCTGCTATTATAATCAATGGAGAGGGTTGCATCATAATTCACATTTACTTGACAGACACAACAATTTTAATTTTAGTCGTGCTGCACTGCAACATCAGCCACTTTTCATGTGTTTGTCTTTTGCTTTAAATTATTGTCATTAATTGTGTATTATATAAAATATTTTCCCTGTACATTAAGAGAGCCCACCTACAATCCCTGCCGGTACGAGACTCGAACCTGCAACCTTTGAGTTACAAGTCCAACTCTCTAACCATTAGGCCACGACTTCTCGTTTAAAAGCGAAACACTGAAATAAATAATTCACTGAAAACGCAACGCGAGTCTCTGTTCTCTCTGCAATCTCTGATGTAATCAGCCTGGTTTCCTTTATATTAGCGCTGTTTTGGATGGATTGTTTGAATGCATTCGCTTCCTGGACCATTGGACTGAAAACCTTCACGGAGTTTAGTGGCTTAAAATGATCTAATAGCAAGCAGAGAAGCAAAATTGGGTTAAAGGGTTCGAATAGAAATTGTGCTTCAGTAATTTGGCGTTAATTGCGTTAAATTATTTTAACGCGTTATGGATTATAAAATTAATCGCATGCGTTAACGATGACAGCC